GTGTGTGTGATGTATATAAGTTTATATATTTGTGTGAGCGTGTGTATAAATGTGAGACCTGAACAGCTCTGCAATCATATCTGTCTTGTATGCGTGAGAAATGTGGATAGTGCTTGAGTTATGAAGATATATATTAAAACATTATGAAATATGCTTGAGTTATGGAGATATATATTAATTCTATCTATGTTGTTATTTGTGCTTAAGTCCGTTTGGACGAAATCTTTTGAGGCGCAAAATCTATTTCTCTTCTTGTTCTTTTAGTAATTTTCTAAGGTTACCTTATCTGTTTTTTTCCAATTTTTTCAATTATAGTGAATTTTTCATGGCTTTTAAAATCATGTTTTTTCTAGGCGGAAATGTTGTTCTACAGGTAATAATCTTTCGTGGGGAGCCGATTTGATCCAATTCCGATAATTATTAATTCTCTAGTGAAAGGACCATTGTATATATATATATATATATATATATATATATATATATATATATATATATATATATATATATATATATATATATATATATATATATATATATATATATATATATATATATACTTTCTACATGCGGCCTCCACTTGCGGGTCATAAAGATTATCACACAAAATTTTCATAACTGAATCAACTGGTTAATTTGTCACATCCTCATACGTCGAAACCGACAGGAGATTCCATTATATATATATATATATATATATATATATATATATATATATATATATATTTATTTGCATTGCTTACATTATTCGGACTGTTATCCTCATCTTCATTGCCACATTCACAACGTATCGGCCGTTTTATGCCCCGGCCTTCTTCAGGTGATTGGAATTCCGAACCGAATCCTTTATTTCGTCCACCGGGGTAGATTGTTCTAGTTCCACATGCCTTGCCTCTTCCGGATGTATCAGTTATTCCCCTTTAAGTCAACACTCCAAGTTTTTGTCCACCACTGCAGATTAAAGTTGGCTGGAAAACATGGAGCCGGAAGGGAGTTCCATAATTAAGGCAGTAAAGCCACTAAGACGCAAAGGGGTTACATGGCGTGGAAGAATTAGGAACAGAAAGATTAATAATGAGCGATAAAAGGAAAGAGTAATCAGGTGGACAGAAGATAGCGATTGACATTGCATTTCAATTTTTGCACATTAAAGTTGGCCGGAAAGCATGGAGTCGGAAGGGAATTCCACATGCGAGAAGTGTGAAAAAAGAAACTGTTAGCATAGAACTTACGGCTGCATCTTGCAATCTCAACTATAAATTGGTGAGATTTCAATGCCAGTCTAGTACTGCGCTTAAATTCATAAAGTCTAGGTAGCATATCGAAAAGTTCAATCGAACTATTACCATGAAAGGATTTATAGAAAAGACCCAAAGAAGCAACTTTACGGAGGCCCAAAGAAGCAACTTTACGGAGGGAAAGTGACTGAAGTCGAGATGCCAGGTCAGGACCAATAATATTGACGATTCTTCCTTGGACTATTCCCAAAGAGAAACCTTGGACATATTACTGCCTAGTATTTATAGTGAGATCTCTCCAGCACCTTGCCGGACCATTTTAGCTCACACCATTCCCCTTCCTTCGGTAACTACTTTAGATCAACCCACATTAAATGTAGAACTTACTAGTTCTGCGAACCTGACTACAGAGCTGATGAGTCTGAGTTTTAAGGGATGCACACACCCAAGTATCCCAGTCAGAAATTAATGTAATACTTACACCCAAATAGAAGAATTTCTCTCTCCTGAAATCTTTGGTTGCTGTTGCCAGAGCAGCATCCGAATCTAAATGACAAATTCTGGTCGATGCCAATATTCTCAGTCACTTCTAACAATTGACAAGACATTAAAAGACAAATGGGCTATGCTTGTGCTCTCCTCTTGAGGGGCATGGTGACAGGAAAAAACATAACTGACAACTGGACAAAATTATCTATCTGTCTATATTTCTGAGATGAGGTATTATGTACATTATTTCCATTATTCGGACTATTGTCCTCATCTTTGTCGCCATATTTATCCCAACGTTTCAGCCCTTCAGTATCTGTCTATATTTCTGAGATGAGGTATTATGTACACTATTTCCATTATTCAGACTATTGTCCTCATCTTTGTCGCCATATTTATCCCAACGTTTCGGCCCTTCAGTATCTGTCTATTTTTCTGAGATGAGGTATTATGTACACTATTTCCATTATTCGGACTATTGTCCTCATCTTTGTTGACATATTTTCACAACGTTTCAGCCCTTCAGTATCTGTCTATATTTCTGTGATGAGGTATTATGTACACTATTTATATTATTCGGACTATTATCCTCATCTTTGTCGCGATATTTATCCCAACGTTTCGCCCTTCAGTATCTGTCTATATTTCTGAGATGAGGTATTATGTACATTATTTACATTATTCGGACTATTGTCCTCATCTTTGTTGAGATATTTATCACAACGTTTCAGCCCTTCAGTATCTGTCTATATTTCTGTGATGAGGTATTATGTACACTATTTATATTATTCGGACTATTGTCCTCATCTTTGTCGCCATATTTATCTCAACGTTTCAGCCCTTCAGTATCTGTCTATATTTCTGAGATGAGGTATTATGTACACTATTTACATTATTCAGACTATTGTCCTCATCTTTGTCGCCATATTTATCCCAACGTTTCGGCCCTTCAGTATCTGTCTATTTTTCTGAGATGAGGTATTATGTACACTATTTCCATTATTCGGACTATTGTCCTCATCTTTGTTGACATATTTTCACAACGTTTCAGCCCTTCAGTATCTGTCTATATTTCTGAGATGAGGTATTATTTACACTATTTATATTATTCGGACTATTATCCTCATCTTTGTCGCGATATTTATCCCAACGTTTCGCCCTTCAGTATCTGTCTATATTTCTGAGATGAGGTATTATTTACACTATTTACATTATTCGGACTATTGTCTTCCTCTTTGTCGCCATATTTATTACAACGTTTCGGCCGTTGTACGCTCCGGCCTTCTTCAGGTGGTTGGAATGTCGAACTAAACCCTTTATTTCTGGGGTAGACTGTTCCATGTTTAATGGAAGTCACTTATCAGTTCTCTCGTGTTAATTCCCCTCTCCAAGCTCTCCACTGCCTTAACCGGGTATTGAACTCACACTCTTTGGGTCCTGACACTGGATCTAACCAACCCCTTTATCCTCTGTGCCATGTGTCTATCGTCTTCTGAAGCTTAAGAAACAGTTTCAGAACCAATAAATATACAAATGACACTTCTATGAAATTCTAATACACATTTGTGTCTAATAAAGAACGGTATTCAGAATTTGTCGGAGTGAAAAATCGAGGTACTCAGAATATGGCCTGACGATTTCATCTAGCATGAGATAGACTGTCGCCTCTCGGTGTTGATCTCAATGTCCATGTCCATACATTATTTACATACGCTCTATCCTTGATATTAAGCACTTTAGCCCATAAATATAGTATACCCTAAAACTATACTATACTGGGTGTAACACAAACATTGTCCAAATCGTGCAAAAGCAAAGTTGTCCAATTGTTAGTTTAAGCTTTGAACCGTTGTATCTTAGAAATGATTAAAGATATCTTACTGGAATTCTCCAAGGTTTTTATAACACTATTGGATTCTACTTTCAACAATAAGAATATATTTAGCTCTAAGCTAAAATGATGATCCCTCTTCGTGCTGTGACCTCCTGCTCCACTTTTCCTCTCTACTGCTCCCCCTTTTTTAAAACGTATTCATCGTTCTCTTGATGGTTCTTGAATGGTCTTTGAAGATGGAAGCCAGAGTATGAATGTTAGTAACATTCATACAAATGATCTTTTTCCTCTCACCATTACTCAGTTGGGACGACATAGTGGGGCTGACACAAAACAATGTTAATCTGTTCTCTTTCTAGCAGAATAACTCAAAGGGTTTTTCAGTGATCCTTACGACAAATGGTGTCAAGATGGCTGAACATCTTATCTGAAAACCTGGTAAAAGAAACTCAATTAGTTTAGTGGCTTATTAGATATTAAAAATTCTGTGGGATGGAGAATTATGCAGTTACACGATTTGGACAATTTTGCAGTTACAATCTTATATATATATATATATATATATATATATATATATATATATATATATATATATATATTATAATTTTATCATATAGACAAAACAATTTTAAGAATCGAAAATATATAACCATTTTCGATTCTCACCCGTCGAACTACAGTTGAAATGCAATGAAACTAATTTGTATCTTTGTAGTGAGTAAAATGGTTTTGTCAATATGATAAAATTATAATAACTAATTATCGCTCTATTATCGGTATCGAGCCCTCTTTTGGATTAATGCTGTGAACGTTGGAATTTATATATTACTTTCGTTCTCATCGCAATGGATATATATATATATATATATATATATATATATATATATATATATATATATATATATATATATATATATGATATCGCACATTGAGTGCTGGTCTTAAGAAAACAGTGTTCGATGTAGAATAACAGAGATATAAATTACATATTGTTAATAAGTATACATTTTATCCATTGAATTGAGCATGAAATATATATATATATATATATATATATATATATATATATATATATATATATAAGCGTTTCACCCCAAGCAAAGCGGGAGTGCCACTAGGAAATCATGGGAAATTTGTAGTTTAAAAGCAGTAAATCGACCTTGCTAAGCAGACGTTTCCTCCGTAGCTAAACTGGTATAACACGTCAGGCTATATGTCAGTTTCGTGTAGGATACAAGTTCGATTCCTGTCGGAGGACATACTTTCTATGAAATTTCTCGGACATTCAGGCCGGTAAATGTTGTTAATACTTTTTATTATAAACAGAATATTTACTTAAATATTTGTATGTATATAAATAACGTATAACAATGTATATATATATATATATATATATACCCCAAAAAAACGAGAATTTTTTAAGTGTGTATTGCCAGACATGAGCAAGGGGCAACACTGCGAGACAGTGACCTTGAGAAAGTAAACATTTCGCCATTTAGAATTCAAGATGAAATTCACAGTATCCCAGCTGAGATGTTGCAGCAGTCAATGAGGAATCTCAACAGCAGATTTCAAGAATGCATTCGTACAGGAGGACGCCATCTACAGGACGTAATTTTTAAAAAAATGAAAATTCCATCATTGTTTCTTAAATGGCATGTTTTAAGGTTTCAATTACTATGAATAAAATATTTTTCTTCCATCACTCATGGTTTTATTGGATTGTTAAAAAGTTCCCGTTTTTTTTTTGGGGGGGGGGGTCACCCTGTATATAATCTCCAAATGAGAGAAATTCCACTGTTCGTAGTATTTACTTTTTTTTAAAACTAAATGCTATGAACAGTGGAATTTTAGACATCTGTTCTTTCTTTCTTTCTTTATATATATATATATATATATATATATATATTTAGAGAGAGAGAGAGAGCGAGACTGACAGACAAACAGAGAAAAAGAGACAGAGAGAGACAGATGGATGGAATAGCAACAAAAGAATAGGTAACTGACATGAGTCAATGTCGATGTAGAAGTGGAAGATAATAATAATAATAGAAGAAGAAGAAGAAGAAGAAGGGGGAGGAGGGGAGGAGAAGGAGAAGAAGACGAACACGACGACGATGACGAAGAAGAAGAAGAAGGGGGAGGAGGTGAAGAGGAGGAGAAGAAGAAGAAGAAGAAGAAGGGGAGGAGGAGAAGAAGAAGAACACAACGACGACGATGACGAAGAAGAAGAAGAAGAGGGGGGAGGAGGAGAAGAACACGAACACGACGACGACGACGAAGAAGAAGAAGGGGGAGGAGGGGAAGGAGGAGGAGAAGAAGAAGAAGAAGAAGGGGAGGAGGAGAAGAAGAAGAAGAACACAACGACGACGATGACGAAGAAGAAGAAGAAGGGGAGGAGGGGAAGAGGAGGAGAAGAAGAAGAACACAACGACGACGATGACGAAGAAGAAGAAGGGGAGGGGAGGAGGAGAAGAACACGAACACGACGACGACGACGAAGAAGAAGAAGGGGAGGAGGGGAAGAGGTGGAGGAGAAGAAGAAGAAGAAGGGGAGGAGGAGAAGAAGAAGAAGAACGCGACGACGACGTCAACGACAACGAAGAAAAAGAAGAAGGGGGAGGAGGGGAGGAGGAGAAGAAGAAGAAGAAGAAGAAGATTGCTACTAATCATTGTTCTTTTCGGAGGTGGAAGAAATAGGTCGACTCAGCAGGACATTTCAAACGCGAGCAGTGCGTACCAAATAAATACAAATAATACTTGAATCGGTTCAAGGAGGTTGTGGGTGGGGGTACAACAGAGCCAAACTGAGTGTCGTCAATCCACAATGGCACGTGGACGGAAAATAGGTAAATTTGGATGTTTACAACTTGATGTTGGGCCCCTGCCATAGCAGGATATCTCCCTAACTCGTCCCGTGGAGAAATTCTCTAGGGCATTGCAGTCGGCACTCATTGGTTAAAGACAAAGATGTGCTCCGTAAATGCGCTTGCTGCAGAGCAATTTCCGTGACTATTTGCTTATTGTCCGGAAAAATCTACAGCGCTAAGCAGTCTAGCACAGGGCTAACACGCTCTGTGTTTTAAACATCTATTGGGTCTCAATTTCTTTTTAGACTTCGAGAGAAACCTATATATACAATCCATTGCTACAGATGCTGAATAAAAGTCAGCCCATGCTATTGCTTCAGAAAGTATACGATTATTTCTGCAATGTTTTAGCTTTTATCAGATTAGACCAAAGATTTCCACCCTACAACCTCTTTTCCCATAGACGGAAAGTTTCAAGTCGTTCGTTTCTTTATCGCTATTTCCATGGCCATTTTGCCAGGGATGGAGATTCAGGCTTCATCCCATATCTGTGGCTCTCCACAACATATAAATAAGTGATCGACCCAGCTGCGCCTAAGATGTGCACGCGTGGTATAGATAGGTAGATAATGAACAAATTGCGAAATAGATAGATAGATAGATATAAACAGTCTGAGATAGTGTTATAGTGAAACACATATATTCTATTGTTAATTGACTCTCCCACCTATAATAAGTAGGAGTAGTAGCAGTCGCTCCATGAAGAGTTAGTCAGTCAGTCGATGTCGGACGACCGTTGGTCGGATACTACGAGTATCAGCGACCACCACAAGATTTCTCTGCGTCATTACATATTATATCAAGTTCCTAACGTTTTGTACGTCGAACCTATTTTAGTACCGACTTAGAGAAATACAAGCCTCTACTGTGAAACTACTCTACAACAGATAGATAGATAGATAGATAGATAGATAGATAGATAGATAGATAGATAGATAGATATGAAGAGACCTAAGATGTGCACGCGTGGTATAGATAGGTAGATAATGAACAAATTGCGAGATAGATAGATAGATATAAACAGTGTTAGATAGATAGATAGATAGATAGATAGATAGATAGATATGAAGAAACCAAGATAGATAGATAGATAGATAGATAGATAGATAGATATGAACAGACTGAGATAGATAGATAGATAGATAGATAGATAGATAGATAGATAGATAGATAGATAGATATGAACAGAATGAGATAGATAGATAGATAGATAGATAGATAGATAGATAGATAGATAGATAGATAGATAAAGACAGAGTAACATACACAGTGATTGACTAAGAGTTAGACGTGACAAAAGGCCGAATATATGGGACACCCAGTCAGGATCTAACACACTATTCAGTTGTAACTGATCCAACGTGAAAAGCTCGTTAACCATTGCACCACGTCGAAGCGGACAGACAGAGTGATAAATCTGAATAGACTTAGGAAGAGAGAGAGAGAGAGAGAGAGAGAGAGAGAGAGAGAGAGAGAGAGAGATTGAATTCAGATAGATAGATAGATAGATATGATGAGACCGAGATATGAAGAGACCGAAGTAGATAGATAGATAGATAGCATGGCCTAATCTGTAAAGGCACCTCAAGCTAAATGACGGTTCCGTATAGGATACAGGTTCGAATCCTGTCGAAGGACGAATATTTTCTATGAAAATTTCTCGGACATTCAGGCCGGTAAATGTTTATTACAAACAGAGCATTTACTTAAATATTTGTATCTATAAAAAAATGTATAAACATAAAAATGTCTTAAAATAGATATAAACAGACTGTGATAGGTAGATAGATAGATATGAAGAGACCGAAGTACATAGATATATAGATAGATCTGAACAGATTGAGTTAGATAGGATTTTTTAAAAATAAATTTTCTAGCTTTAAATAACCTGCTAGAGCCGTACATTCTTACAATCTAAAAATATTTCGGGCTTCAAATGAGCTACACAGGCATGTCTTTTAGATTTATTTACAGTCTCTGGAATAGAAATGTATAGAAACTAAAGTGGCCACAAAGTGAGGGATCAGTTTATATATTGATTTTAATATAGAATTGATCCCCCACTTTATATTCACATTATAATTTCTTGTTTGTTGATAAGCCATAGAAAACGAATGAATCAATCAATGAAATACTTATCAGCCACACAGGAATGTCTTTTAGATTGATTTATATTCTCTGCAATAGAAAGGTATAGAAACTACCGTGGCCACAAAGTGAGGGATCAGTTTATATATTGATTTTAATATAGAATTGATCCCCACTTTATATTCACATTATAATTTCTTGTTTGTTGATAAGTATAGAAAACGAATCAATCAATCAATGAAATACTTATCAGCCACACAGGAATGTCTTTTAGATTGATTTACATTCTCTGCAATAGAAAGGTATAGAAACTACCGTGGCCACAAAGTGAGGGATCAGTTTATATATTGATTTTAATATAGAATTGATCCCCCACTTTATATTCACATTATAATTTCTTGTTTGTTGATAAGCCATAGAAAACGAATCAATCAATCAATGAAATACTTATCAGCCACACAGGAATGTCTTTTAGATTGATTTACATTCTCTGCAATAGAAAGGTATAGAAACTACCGTGGCCACAAAGTGAGGGATCAGTTTATATATTGATTTTAATATAGAATTGATCCTACACTTTATATCCACATTATAATTTCTTGTTTGATTATCAATTTCTGATTAGACATGGATCTATCTCTTTTCCTCCCACCCACTTAGGTGTTAATTACTAAAACTTGAATCACTAAACCATTATTATCTAAAAAAAAATAATTCTTACAATGTAAAAATATTTTCTAGCTTTAAATAACCTGCAAAAGTTTGATAAGCCGTCGAAAACGAATCAGCCAAACTCAATCTTACTCTACCCCGAATGGCTCTTGTGCCTTGTACAGCGTGAACATATTGTAAAAAAAAAATTGGATCGGGGATGGAGCTTCTAAATAATCACTTGCCAAACTTGGAGCTGATTTCTCCTCTGATCGGGATCTGACAGTTCAATGGATTAAAAATAGGATTCTAACTTGCAAAAATCAACATCTGTATTTGCGTAATTTTGACTTCTTTCGACGCCCGCAGAAGTAGAAAATATATCAGTATGCATCCAATCATTACAAAGTTCGTCTCCAAACATAAACACTAACGAACCTAGTGATGATGAAATTAAGAAAGCTATCAAAATAAGGAATAATAAAGTATAACTTGATATTGAGGTTGAACTTTTGAAAATCGCTCACCTCCCCGAATTCAATAGGTTTCTCTATTTTATGTAAAAAAGTGTTGTATATTATGGAAATAGAAAGGTAGACCTCAAGACCCTCACACATACAGAGGTAACTCAATTGAATGTGAAAGTATTCATGAATATTATATTAACCAGGCTCTCATCGTTTTATGAAAACCAACTCCTCACAACCCAGCCAAGGACATGTAAGATAGATAGATAGATAGATAGATATGAACAGACATAGATAGATAGATAGATAGATAGATAGATATGAACAGACATAGATAGATAGATAGATAGATAGATAGATATGAACAAACACAAATAGATACATAGATAGAAAGAGGGAGAGAGAGAGAAAGAGGGAGAGAGAAAGAAACAGACTGAGATAGATAGATAGATAGATAGATAGATATGAACAAACACAGATAGATAGATAGTTAGATAGATAGATAGATAGATAGAGAGAGAGAGAGAGAGAGAGAGAGAGAGAGAAGCAGACTGAGATAGATAAATAGATAGATAGAGAGAGAGAGAGAGAGAGAGAGAGATGCAGGCTGAGATAGATAGATAGATAGATAGATAGATAGATAGATAGATAGATAGATAGATATAAACATTTCTGAGCTCATCAGGTGTATAAGAAGGAGGAAATGAGAGTACCTATTAATCTCTTCCTTAGCCTATGGCCTACACATTTACAAGCACAGATGTGATTAGATAGGCGAGAACCACAATACGGAAACATTTCAAACCTCAGCCGGGGTACAAGGAACAAATGAGAGACCTTGTTCACTGTGACGTGCCAAAAGATTTTTCTTGTCAGAATCTATCTTACACATTTATAAATCTATCACTCGCCCGGGTATTAAATGTTGGCATGTCTGGACTGGTGCTCCTGCTGTATATCTCGAGACAAAATCCAGGGAAGGATCTGCAATATAATCGACCCTAACCAGGCATATCGACTCCAGTCATTTTCTCATCGACGTGACATGTCTTCCCTCTGTCTTTTCTACAAATAGTTTCATGGGAACTGCTAGGACGAGCGTTTTTACCTGGTGTCATGTTTACTTGAATTTTTAGCGTGCTACTAGATTGGCAACCAGGTTTCAATGGATCATATGTACGAATTCCAACTGAGTCCAGATCAATAATTGTTTTATCAATTCTCTAGTGTAATGGATTAGATTCTTACTGCTACAGCCTGTTTATTTATTATTATTATTTTTTTTAGAAAATAACTGTTTTTGTGGTGGGGGCATGCTTTTGACCCCTATTGGTCATTTGCAATAAAATAAGTTAAAAAATGTAATAAAAATTCTTTTATTTAATGACTGCTCAGAACCTTTTCTGCCTGCCATCAGGATGGCTGATGCTAAACTCTAGTAGAGCAACACTGCACCTTCTTGGCCTCACGTTTTCCACTGACATGAAGGCGAGCAACTATATCGAGTCAGTTGCTTCATCTCCTGCAAGGAAAGTTGGTTCACTGTATCGTGCCAAATTATTTTCTTGTCAGAATCCATTTTGCACATTTATAAATCTACCATTCTCCCGTGCATTGAATACTGTTGTCATATCAGATCTGATGCTTCTGGCGTACATATCAAGTTTCTGAACAAAATCCAAAGAATTGTCTGTAATGTAATCAATCCTGACCAGGCATCTTGATTTCAGTCACTTTCTCACCAACATGACGTGGCTTCCCTCTGTCTTTTCTGCAAATATTTTCATGGCAACTGTTCTGATGAGCTTTTTTCCCTCCCTTCGTTCCCCGACTCCACGAATTTAAGCGTTCTATATATATATATATATATATATATATATATATATATATATATATATATATATATATATATATATATATATATATAAATAATTGCGTTCTATGAGCTGCTGGCATATTTCGTATAGAGAAAAACGTTAAATTTCCCTACGCCTTCTCTGTCGTGCGACGATGGTCTAGGGGTAAGAGATCTGACTGAAGTCAAATCAGTCGGGTTTCAATATCGGCTTGAAGCAATCAGACGTCTAGCCAAGTGAAACAGTCTGACTGTGGATGACTATATATTATTTCCCATAATAATTTTTTGGGTAAGACAAATTGTTATAAGAATGACAATTGGAAAAAAATCTTAGTTAACTAAGATTTATTCCTCTTGCCACTTTTATACCAGTTTACTCTATTGTCGACATGGAAAACAAAAAACAAACTCTTAGTATAAAGTAAGTTACTATTACCCAGAAAAAGGCTTACGCCATATTTATCTCCGGAACGTTGTGATAAATATGGCGACAAAGATGAGGACAATAGTCCGAATAATGTAAATAGTGTACATAATACCTCATCTCAAAAATTCAGAAATATAGATCGATATTCATTTCTGTAGTTTAGTGCTACCAGCAAGCAGAAATATTTCTCCTCCCGATGATGGCCATTTCGGTCGAAACTAGTCGAGGAATCTAAATGGAATAATAATAAAAAAAAACGAAAGAATATTAATCTACAACCCAGTGTGTCTAAAGATTTTAATTTTTTAAATTTTTAAATTTTCTTATTGTTCAATATATATATATATATATATATATATATATATATATATATATATAAACAAGTTCCATGAAATACAACAGAAAAGGTCTCTCTGTTTAATTTTTTCATGTGTTTTAACAATTTTCGGATAATGTGTTATATATTGAGAGATATTTAGAGTTTACTGAAGAAGGGTGTATTTTTTTAATCATCTCACTCCAGGCAAGGCAATAAAGCCACTAAGACACAAGGGACTACAGAGTGTGAAAGAATAAGAAAAAGAAAGACATCATTAGGGAACGAGAAGAATAAAAGAAGAGTAATCAAGAAGACAGTAGATAACGATTCACATTGCATTTACATTTTGAAGATCAAATTTGACTGGAAAGCAAGAAGCTGGAAGAAGCGATAGAAGAAACCGTTAACATAGAACTTACGGTTGCGTCTATCCAATTAAACAGTAAAATGAGGATTCCTTGTTGCCAATCTAATACTTCGCTTAAATTCATAAAAGGAAAGTAATATCTATTTTAATATAATACAAAAAATATGGCACAAGGCCAAAAAGAGGGATTGGCGAAAGCTGGTCTTCAATTTGTCTTATCTTGAACTTAGCTATTCACAATTACTGACCTAAACATAACGCAGCATTCCTTATACCAAAACAACATATTCTTACTTACCATTCTTACGACATTCACCATAATACCTCAGAGTCTCTATGTAGTCCTAACTAGTACCCTTATGTACAAATTGTCCATGGGGAAGGGGAATAAAAATAACAAAACAGTTTCTTATAGCGGAAAGATCATCCGAACAATTATCATGAAAGTATTTATAGAAAAAGCACGAGGAAGTGAGATGCCGCGCTGCCAGGTCAGGACCAATAACATTGCAGATTCTTCTTTGGGTTTTATCAAGAACCGCTAAATGCCAGGAGCATCAGAAAGAGTGATTTTAATGTTACAAAATGAATATCACAGTTGGTTGACGAATACATCTTTGTGCTTCTACGAGCTTACATCCATCATTCGTGACCTCTTTAGTTAAGTCGTACGTGGAATTAACAGGTATCTTTACTAATTCTTTCATTAATGCTAGCAATAAACCAATCCCAGAATTACGGTTAGACAAAATAACAAGGCGAATGAAAAATAACATTTTTCCATTTACTAACTATTAAAAATTTAGCCATTGTTGTCGTCTTCCTTTTTTGCTGAATAAATTATCGTATCTATGACTTTAGACTCGGTTTCAAATTCCGAGTACAAAACCTTTGGTCTCGTTTTGCGCCACCCGCAGTGCAGGAAAATGGCGCCAACAATTTGCGCTCGTAAAGACCTCGGGCGATCGCCTGACTGAACCGAAGGGGTCAATCATTTGGATTTTTCTGGCGATGGGCGGGGAGGTGTTGGCGGAATCAAGAGTCAATTTTCTATTTAAGGAAAAGTATAAAAATGAATTAGAAGGGAATAAAAAGAAGAAAATTAAGATGAATATTTGTGTTCGTGGCGAATTGTGGGAAAGAATAAATAGGTGAGAGGAAAGGAAGGAAGGGTGGAAGGAAGGTTGGGAAGTTAGGAAGTGAGGAAGGAAGAGGGGATTGAAGAAAGAAAAGGAGGAAAGAAGGAAGGAAAGAAGAAAGGGAGAAAGGGAGAAAGGAAGGGAGGAAGGAAGGAAGAAAGAGCACTGAATCACTTTGAATGAATAAAATGTAAAATATAACAGAAAGAAAGACTGAATGAGTTAGAAAGAATAAAAGACAAAAGAAAAATAATTCTATGTAAAATGAATGAGATTGAAAAAGCTACAGAGAAGAGAAAGAAGGAAACATTGAAGAAAAATATAACTTGATGAACAGGATTAAAAGAAAGAAAGAAAGAAAGAAAGAAAGAAAGAAAGAAAGAAAGAATATAAAGTAGGAAGAGGCTGTTTAAGAAAGAAAGAAAGAAAGAAAGAAAGAAAGAAAGAAAGAAAGAAAGAATATAAAGTAGGAAGAGGCGGTTTAAGAAAGAAAGAAAGAAAGAAAGAAAGAAAGAAAGAAAGAAAGAAATGGTCAATGCGGAAGTAGTTTAAAATGAATGAGAACGAAGAAAGGGATATAGGAAGGGATAAACCATTGACTGAAAAGAAAGAAAGAAAGAAAGAAAGAAAGAAAGAAAGTAAGAAAGAAAGAAAGAAAGAAAGAAAAGGTTCAACTAAAAGAAGAAAGAAATAAATCGTTAAGGAGGAACGATTTCAATATGAATGAGAACGAAGAAAGGAAGAAAGGCTGAGATAAACAATTAATTGAATAGAAAGAAAAAGAAAGAAAAACGAATGAAAAACAATTATCTGAAAAGAAAGAAAGAAAGAAAGAAAGAAAGAAAGAAAGAAAGAAAGAAAGAAAGAAAAACAATTAGCGGAAAAGAAAGAAAGAAAGAAAGCAAGAAAAATGAAAGACGAAAGAAAAAAGAAAGAAAAACAATTAGCTGAAAAGAAAGAAAGAAAGAAAGAAAGAAAATCAATTAGCGAAAAGAAAGAAAGAAAGAAAGAAAAGGCTCAACTAAAAGAAAGAAAGAAATCGTTAATGAGGAACGATTTTAATATGAATGAGAACGAAGAAAGGAAGACAGGCTGAGATAAACAATTAATTGAATAGAAAGAAAAAGAAAGAAAAACGAAAGAAAAACAATTAGCTAAAAAGAAAGAAAGAAAGAAAGAAAGAAAAGACATTTAGTGAAATATTCCTTTATCTGGTTATATTAAGTCGTTCGGAAAGTAATGTCCGATTTTAAAATCAACATTTATTCCCGAATTAATCTATTCAGAGTTTAAATCAGTCGAAGTCGGAATCTTGAACATCTATGTATTTCTGCCATCGAGTTACAAGTTTATTTTTGCCTTTACAATAAAACTCTAAAGGTTTAGACGCTAGAAATCTTTGAATGAAGTTGCTGCATCCTCTTTGCAGCGAAATGTCTTTTGGCTTAAAGAATTGCCAAGATGCTTTGAAAAGTGATCGTCAGTGGGCGAGAGATGAGGTGAATATGGTGGGTGTGGCAAAGTGTCGTATTTCAAGTCGGTGATCTTCGGCAGTGTCATCTTGTGGCCGAACATTGTCGCAAAGTAGAATTGGACATCGTCGATTAACCAGAATCGATCGCATTTCACTTAACTGAATGTGCATCTCACCTAGTTGCTGACAATAAACCTCGACAGTGATGCTAAGGTTCGATTTCAGACAAGCTGTAATGTATAACGCCAATGGCTCGACCACCAGACAGTCGCCATAATCTTGTTTGTGCACTTCCGGTTTTGGAAAGTGTTTGGATCCTTCGACACGATCAAGCCATTGGGCAGATCGTTTATGATCATCACAAGTAACTTTTCAATCAAGAAATAAGTCATTCGAATTTCGGAAAAGCAGAATGGAACACACTTAGAACGTGGAACTCTTTGATTTTCACTGAGTTTATGCGGAACCCATTGATCAATTTTCTTCACCTTACCAATTTTGGCGTTTTTGTTTTGTTCAGCTAGTATTTTCAGATGTTGATTATCAATTGCAGATAGACGTCCTCTACCACCTTGTGTTTTTAAGACGCGTATTCCCATTGCGGATCTCATAAAAAAGTAAATGCCTTTTTTTTTTTTGAAAAAGAATATATATATATATATATATATATATATATATATATATATATATATATATATATATAAATTCATGAATCATTCATACAACAAAACAAATACAGAGGTTAATGATTTAAATGGCGAGAATACATCTTCGCAAACAATATCAAAAAGATACACCAACCCCGAACCTGTATATGAATGATATGATCCCTGTTGCATAAGGTCTTTTTAATTTTTTACAAGCTTTCGTCCTCAGGTATGAAAATAGATTTGTTCTTGTTTTTCCTCCTCGGTAATAAGAGGACAACGAAAATAGACATGTAATCCGAAAAAATGCTATGAGAAATGTGTTATTGTTTTGGAACGTGCGGTTGCAACGCTGAGTTTGAATTTTAAATTTTAAGGTTTTGCGTTTTTGTACAAATGTAGGAATAAGAGAATTCTTTTTTACTGGTAAGTTTTTCGTCAATGTGGAATGAACTATATTGTTCAATAATTACAGGAATGTCCCTCTTATTGTCTGAAAGTTGCACGTTGGATCAGTTATTTACATTTCAATTATAGGTGCAATTATAATTTATAAATTCATAAATATATGTATAAAAGTAAACATTGAAGTCAGCACACGGAGACGACCGGCTGTTTTATGTTAGACGCAATCGTCAGGCCGCGAGTGTTGGATTTTTCTCGACTATTTATATATACAGATCAATGGTGCATTGTGGGGAGTTCATTCTGGCGGTTATTTTGGCGGGAGTGGCTTGTTTATTTATTTGGGTTAATTTATTTTACATGTTTTTATTTATTTTTATTTTATATATTTATTTATTCTTTTCGGTTTTCGGTGTTTTATTAACCTAGCAAAAATATTTTTTGAGGTTTGTTTAGGTCGTTTATTCAGTAGTTTGTTTTGGTCTGGGAAGATAAAGCTATTTTTTCAATTTTTGGATTGATTTCTGAAGTTTATTCTAACTGTAATTTTGGCGGGTGGGGGCAGTTTTTAATTTGTTTGTTATTTGATTTATTTATTTGGATTGGTTATTTTTTACTTATTTCTTATTTATTTTTTTATTTGTTCTAATGGTTATTTTAGCTAAAATAACTGTCAAATCCAAATAAATAAATGAATTTCTTCACAAAATCTGGTCTTGATTGGTCAATGTATGGCTATTTTAGAGGGTGTGACGAACCGACGGACGGACTAACAGAAGTCACAGAATTTTATATATAAGCAGAAAATGATTTTCTGATACAAGCCTTACTATTTAACCCATATCTAGGAGAAAAAGTGGCCTCATAACTTTCCCGTGTTTATTTGCTTGTAGGTGAACGTAATGAACTCGATTGGAATTCGAACTTGATTCTCCTATTTCTAATACAAAACCGTTATCCTTTACACCACCAGCACATCCAAGCTGATAGTATCTGGTAACGATTAACGTTACCCGGATCGATATACACCTGGGGAAGGCCGGAGAGCACCGCGGCCGAAACGTTGTGATAACAACAAAGATAAGGACAATAATCTGAACATAAATAGTGTAAATAATGATAACTCCTTATCCCAGAAATTCATTCCCTGTAGGTAACACAGATCGATATACACCTGAGGAAGGCCGGAGAGCACAACGGCCGAAACGTCGTGTTAATAACAACAAAGATGAGGACAATAGTCCGAATATGAATAGTGTAAATAATGAAAAAGCCTCATCCCCGAATTCCATTAACTGTAGTTAATCGGATATATACATGAGGAAGGCCGGAGAGCACAATGGCCGAAACGTCGTGATAACAACAACAAAGATGGTAATGTCAAAATGTAAGTAAATTGAATATCACTGTGCTATTAGACAATCCTCATGCATTTTTACTCAAAGCCTCAAGAGCCACTCAAGGTAGAGGTTAACAAATGAGGTGTTATATGAACGTTAGAGTCGGAAGTAAGAAATGAAGATAATAAGTATATGGAGAATAAATTGATCTTAGGCCGGATTAGTTTAAAATTGTTGTGTTCAAGGAAACATCCACGCAGGAGCCTGTTTTACGAAATAACTACTTGGGAAGAAGCTGTCTGAGTGGAACATCCTCCTTACGGGGGAAATTGGGTGAATTCGAAACTGTGGACATAGCATGGCGTGTCTCAACTATAAATGTTTGAACTGGTGAAATTAAAAGCCGACCTATCGAGTATTTGATCTAGCTCCTAAGGAGGGATTCTGATTGGGCCTTCGGCTTGCTCAGGAGTTTGAGAGTCCCTAAGTCTTTGCATATTCTCAGAATTGGAAGATCTCGCTGCTGTTTGATCTTAGTTTTCATTTGCATAAGACATTCTTTTCTTCGTTGCAGCCTTGACTCTTTTGATTGCAATTTGGTCCTCTGTTGACGAAGATTTATTATTGCGAGGTATACTGCTGCCGTATGCGATAGGCAACAGTAAGCTAGTGTAGAACTCAAAATTGATCGCTGCATTTAAGCTTACCTTTTTTATAATTCTTCTACCGCCACTTAATTTAAAGACAATTTGATGTACGTAGGTCCTTACTTTCTTTACAAACAATTATTTTTATTTCATGGGTGACTTTCGCTGGATTTCACAATTAATTTCGATTATTCCTAAATTAATTTCCAAATTATCTGTTATCGTACAAAAAATTCGTCACAAAAACTCACGTAAAGAATCGCCGAAAACAATCGCAGTAATTAAAGTTTGGGAATCCAAAATTTCAGGACTGCGGGTCCGGATCCGAGCTGGAATATTTTTAATTTGCTCACGGGGTCGACCTGATTCCAAAATGGTATGATATGTTGGGCTACGGACTCTAGGAGTAAAATTGAAAAAAACGGACAATTTTATTTTGAAACACTAATTTGAGAACAATAACTTTTTCATTTGAACATGAGCTATTGAAAGTTAGAGAGTTGTGCCCCTTTAATTGTTTTATCAGTAGAAGCCAAGATGGCGGAATCAGAAAAAAAATCGTAGCAATGAAAACTTGAGAATCCAAAATTTCAGGATTTTTGGTCCGGATCCAACCAGGAATGTTTTTAATTTGCTCACAGTGTCAGCCTGATTCCAAAATGGTATATGTCCGGCTACGGCCTCTAGGAGTAAAGTGGAAAAAGAGTCACACACTGACATTCGCATTTATTTATATAGATTGCAAAAGTCCGTGCTCGATTAAAAAGAAAATTTTACATATACACAAAAAAAACATTTGTTAACAAGTACATATTCTCCATTGTTTTAAAAAACTCTCTGGCATTATTTCAGAAACTTGTTGATGCCATTTTTGTGGAAACGTCGTGTTTTTTGTTGGAAGACGTTGTGAGGTATTTTTCGACTGACTGTACAGAGTCAAATATTTTTTGTAATTTAAATTGAGACCGGAAAAAAAAATGAAAATCCGACGGAAGCAAGTCAGAAGAATAGGGTGGATACCGGGGTCCCATTTCGACTCTTTTAAACTTCTGCAGGGTCTCTTTTGTAACATAAGCTCTTGCGTTGGCGTAGTGGAAAATGACGTTTTTTCGATTTGCCAAAATCGGCTTTTTTTCTGTGTGTGTGTGTGTGTGTGTGTGTGTGTGTGTGTGTGTGTGTGTGTGTGTGTTTTACAGGAAGCTTTACCCTGTACAAGGCCCGGGATCCACTTAAGGTAGAGGGTTACATTAAGGGGCAGTTTATATGGGTAGGAGGAAAAGATAACGAACTCTAGACTTGAACAGGTTAAGATTGTAGGTATCGGAAACAGATCCCCTGGGCATTGATTCGCTGGAAGAAGCTGTTTGAGTGGAACTTACTTCTCAACAGCGGAACACGGGGGGAATGTGGATAGGTTGTTACTGTGTAAGTGGCATAGAGGGCCCTAGCCGTGAAGGTTGTGGACATAACGTCAACCTTCAACAAAGTCTAACACGCGTTTCAATCACGAACCCATCAGAAATCGACACAAAAACAAACCCGGGTGTCAAATTGCGGGCATTTTATATTAACAATGAAAGTCAGACACGAACTTTTGCAATGCTCTGATATCATCGCTGGGCACAATTTTAACAACGTAAGATACGAAAATAACACCGTCTTGTTAGCATACATAGAAAACTGCAGGTATTTCTAAACAAGTTAGTAAAGGAAAGTGCGAAGGAAGGACTAACTATCAATTGTAAAAGTACAATGCATAGTTGTTAACAAGAGGGGAAGTGCATGATGTGCGTTACAAATTGGAGACAATTTGAGGAATTTAGATATATGGGAGATGTTATAATAAACAATGGAAAATGTAACATTGAAATCTGAAGGCGTTTAGAAATAGCAAAAGTTGCCTTCCAAAAGCTAAGCAAAGTATTAGGAAACAGGAAATTTTCGGTAGAAACAAAGAAAAGTAGACTGAACAGTTATATAATATCAATCTTTCTATATGGCGATGAATGCTGGAGAATTTTCTCACAAATGTTGTTTGGGTGATTTTGTTTAGCGGCATATCAACACCTCTGTGGGTTATTTAATGCCGAAATCTGAATATTTTGAACACAATTTTATGACTTCAACTAAATATATTTTGAACGCAATTGTATGCCTTCAACTACAGATAAAATGTATTTTTGGTTATTTTGTTTTAAATATGTATTGCTGGCTGGTTGATTTTGTTTAGCGGCATATTAACATCTCTATGGGTCATTTAATGCCGAAATCTAAATATTTTGAACGCAATTTTATGACTTTAACTAAATATATTTTGAACGCAATTGTATGCCTCCAACTACAGATAAAATATATTGTTGGTCATTTTGTTTTAAATATGTATTGTGGGTTGGTTGATTTTGTTTAGCGGTAATTCAACACCTCTATGGGTTATTTAATTTCGAAATCTAAATATTTTGTATGCAATTTCATAGCTTTTGCTATGTATGTTGTGAACCCAATTTTACGTCTTCATATTTTATACAAAATTTTATATTTTCAGGGTAAACGTATGTTTTATTTTAGATATATAGTTCGTAAATGATAAAAATATATTACTGATTATTTTATTATAAAAATGCACTTTTATATCGTTAGTGTTGCATTTTGTTGTCCTGGGCATGACGATAAACTACATCAGGCAGCAAGGGCTCTGATCGGAAGATTGGAGGTTTTCAGAAGCATGGAACCACCTCTTAATTGCTGTTGTTCGCAATCCCACCCTAACCCGGGGTGGCAGCATCTGTTAGGGTCCCAGCTATGGGCAAATATTGAACCTGTGGCCTAAACTCTATGAAAATATAAAAATACATTTTTATAGTGAAAATACCAGCAATGCATTTTCATAGTAAAAAAAAATTACATTTTTTTAAAGAAAATTACTAATACCCCCAAGAAAATTAAATTTCGGCTTTAAATGACCCATAAAGGAGTTGATATGCCACTAAACAAACTATGAAAATGTATTGTTGGTAATTTGCTTTCTAAAAATGTAGTGCTGTTATTTTCATATCTTCATATATATTTTTATACTTTCCTAGCGTTTTTATTTTTGTTTAGGGGTTAATTATTTGTCCATAGCTGGGACCCTAACAGGTGCTACCACCCCGGATTAAGGTGGACATTGGAACAAGATCAGTTAAGGGGTGATTTGACGCTTCTCAAAACTTCCAATCTCCCAATCAAAGGCCTTAATGAAGTGAAGACTTGAGGCAGCAGGGATTTTGTTCTACAGAAGGATGCTGAGAATATCATGAAAGTAACATGTGAGCAACGAGGAAGTCTTAAGGAAAATAAAAATCGGAAATGTCATTTATACTTAGGACCAGAAAGAGACAGCTGAAATTACTAGGACATATAATGAGAAAAGTGAGCATGGAGAACTTGACACTCACAGGATATAGTAAGGCTAAAAGAGAAGTAGCGACTATTTTACTTAATGACATTGTGTAAATAGATGGCAGAACAGAAACAGAAAGGCCAGCATTGTTAGCGTATAATAGATATGAAGTCATGGAGAGCCTTGATCAACTAATAAATCAGAATTGATCAAAGAATAATAAGGACAGTAGTCTTCGTGACTTTAAAAAACGGTTCGGTCAAAATGACGGTTTTTCCGTTGACGCCGCTATTATTTTAACTACCTTCACTCCTCGGTAATGTTTATTGTTCTAAAAAAGCGATGATTAGAATTTTAATAAAACCTAAACATATGAAAGTGAATTTATACATTTATTTTTGTTCTAGAGAATTGGCAGCAAAAATAATAAACACTATTTATTTATTAAATTGTTTATTTATTTTACAGGGCGAGTTTTGTTTTGGATTTGCATTTGCCTTGGTGTTAAGTAAAGTTTGAAAATTCGAATCTTTTTAATTTCTAACAAAATCAATGAATCAATGCTTAACATTTGAATTTTTAATCTAAATCTTGTTTTGTTCACTACGACACTAATTAGATTTTTTATTTGAATGGTTGGCAAAACATCGGCAAATTGCCAATAAATTCAAATTTTATAAAATGTTAAATAATAAGGACTTCCTCAGAGGTCGACCACATAGTTTACTAATTTTATAAATGTTTATAAAATTGTTTTCATATTTATTTCTTTAAAAATTAGTAAATGATAAATATTGCATTGCATTAGTTTTCATTGTATTAATCTCTCTCTCTCTCTCTCTCTCTCTCTCTCTCTCTATATATATATATATATATATATATATATTTCGTTCTCTTGGCATCTATGAATTGGTATCTATAAATTGTTTTCATATTTATTTCTTTATAGATTAGTAAATGATAAATATTGCATTGCATTAGTTTTCATTGTATTAATCTATCTATCTATCTATCTATCTATCTATCTATCTATCTATCTCATTCTCTTCACTACCAAACACACACACAGACATACGCATATATATATATATATATGAAAGAAAAATACAGAAAAAACAAAATTCTGAATATGCATTATTAATGTTAAAATAAAGTCGACGTCGGACGTTTCGGTCTATTTAAGACCATCTTCATGGACATTTTCCTTTAAACATAATTAACATTATAACTTATAAAAATTTAACACAAAAGACGATGGACATAAGAGCCCAACTAATTCAAACAGATAACTGAAATTTATATATATATATATATATATATATAAACTATTCTCTTCATCCCTCTCTATCTCTTTATCTTCATATCTATCTACCTCAGATTATTTATATCTATCCCAATCTATTTATGTCTATCTACATATCTATCTCAATCTGATCAAATCTATCAATCTATCTGTTCATCTTTCTATATCAATGTTTTCATATCTATCTATCTATCTATCTATCTATCTATCTATCTATTATCTATATCGCAGTCTGTTCATCTCTATCTATCTATCTATCTATCTCATTCACTACAAACCCAAAAACACACACACACATATACCATTCTCTTCATCTCTCTCTGTCTCTCTATCTGTTTATCTTCATATCTATCTACCTCAGTTTGTTCATATCTTTCTCAATCTGTTTCTATCTATCTATCTATCTATCTATCTATCTATCACTTTCTCTTCATATATGTCTGTCTATCTATCCATCCATCCATCTATTTTGTTCTCTTCCTATCTATCTATCTATCTATCTATCTATCTATCTATCTATCTATCTATCTATCTATCACATTCTTTTCATATCTATTTACCTACATACCTCCCTATCTATCTATCTATCTATCTATCTATCTATCTATCTATCTATCTATCTATCTTGGAAATATAAAAAATTGATTACACTCAAACAATGTTTTTTCGCCTCCAGGAAACCATTGACTAACATTCATGTCCTTTTTAATTTTACCCACTCAGCAACAACTAATTACCACCTTACTCGTGTGTCCACAGGCTTTTTAAAATTTTCACGATTTTCTTCCTTCTTTAAGCCTTATTCTTGTTATCATTAACAACTCCCCTTGACCTTTTGCCCTGTATGATACCAGCGACAATGTTCACGCTCATTAATACTTGCTATTTTGACGACACTAATGATTCTAACATGAAACAATGATTTTTCTGCGTCCATATTCGGCCTTTTAAGCGTACCAACCTCTTGGCATGATAATCGACCTTGAACCTTACGAATCTCAGACAAAATGTTTTTATATCGAAGTCAACGACCCAAAATGAAATTGGTACTTCATCACGTGACCCCCTTATCCGTCTTAGTGACGATAATTTATTATCAACACAATTATTATATTTAATACCATTCCCGTGTTATGACCCTTATCGCTTTTTTTTCTGCTTCTTTTTCCTTTCTTTCTAAGTCACATTCTTAATCTCGCTTCTCGCGAGATTTGTTCGCCGCATTGAACAGTGTTAGACAGAGAGATGCTAGAAGCGGGTACAGTGAGACTAGAATAGAAATTTAAAAACGTAATGTCTGAGAAACTTACTTTTGACTTTTTGATTTTCTTTTTCTCACTCATGACTCCGTGATTGTCGTCTGCCAAACGCCATTTTGTAAGAAAAGACAAAAAACGTTCGGGTTGTTGTCCGTGTGACCCGCTTCTTTCCCGACCCTTTTCAACATGGCGTATCATCTCGACTTTGCAATGAGTGCCTTTCACGTGTCTACAAAATGTAAATGATGACTTTTTTTTTTAACTGATGGCAGTTTGATTCGTATAGAGGACAGGATTTCACTCGAATTTGGTCGAATTGTAATTACTTTTTATGGTGTAAGATTTTGGTCGAATACAGCCATTTTTCGGAAGTTTTTTGCCTTCGTCTACTTCGATTTAAATATTTATTTATTTATTCCTTTTCTTTCTTTATTTTCTTTCTTTTCTTTTTCATTCTTACTTTCTTTATTTCTTTCCTTTTCCTTTTTTCTTTCTTTTCTTTCTTCCTTTCCTGTTTCGTTCTTTCTTTATTTGTTTCTGTCCTTTTTCTTTCTTTCCTTTTCGTTCTTATTTTCTTTATTTCTTTCCTTTTCCTTTTTTTCTTTCCTTCTTTTCTTTCTTTCCTGTTTCGTTCTTTCTTTCTTTCCTTTTCCTTTCTTTTCTTTCTTTTCTTTCTTTCTTTTCTTTCTTTCCTTTTCGTTCTTATTTTCTTTATTTCTTTCCTTTTCCTTTTTTTCTTTCCTTCTTTACTTCTTTCCTTTCTTTCCTGTTTCGTTCTTTCTTTCTTTATTTACATCCTTTTCTTTTCTTTCTTTTCTTTTCTTCCTTTCCTGTTTCGTTCTTTCTTTCTTTATTTCTTTCCTTTTCCTTTCTTTTCTTTCTTTCTTTTTTTTCTTTCTTTCTTTTCTTTCTTTCCTTTTCGTTCTTACTTTCTTTATTTCTTTCCTTTTTCTTTTTTTTTTTCCTTCTTTTCTTTCTTTCACTTTTTGTTCTTACTTTCTTTATTCCTATCCTTTTCCTTTCTTTTCTTTCTTTCTTTCTTTCTTTCTTTCTTTCTTTCTTTCTTGTTTCGTTCTTACTTTCTTTATTTCTTTCCTTTTCTTTCTTTTCTTTCTTTCTTTTCTTTCTTTCTTTTCTTTCTTCCCTGTTTATTATATAAACTATTATATAATATTTATTTATATCCTTTTTCTTTCTTTTCTTTTCTTTTCTTCCTTTCCTGTTTCGTTCTTTCTTTCTTTATTTATATCCTTTTCCTTTCTTTTCTTTCTTTTCTTTTCTTCCTTTCCTGTTTCGTTCTTTATTTATTTATTTACCTTTCTTTTCTTTCTTTCTTTTCTTTCCTTCTTTCCTTTCTTTCACTTTTCGTTATTACTTTCTTTATTTCTATCCTTTTCCTTTCTTTCTTTCTTTCTTTTTTCTTTCTTTCTTTCTTTCTTTCTTTCTTTCTTTCTTTCCTGTTGCGTTCTTACTTTCTTTATTTCTATCCTTTTCCTTTCTTTTCTTTCCTTCTTTTCTTTTTTTCCTGTTTCGTTCTTTCTTTCTTTCTTTCTTTATATCCTTTTTCTTTCTTTTCTTTTCTTCTTTTCCTGTTTCGTTCTTTCTTTCTTTATTTATTTCCTTTTCGTTCTTATTTTCTTTCTTTATTTCTTTCTTTTCTCATTTTTAAACTTCTTTTTCTTTGTCCATTTTGTTTCTTTTATTCATTTTCATTTTTTCTTAATTGCATTTATTCTGTTCTTCTTTTCTTCTTATTTTTCAAATTTCTTTTTCTTTTTTTTCTTTCCTATTTTCTTTTTTCTGTTGTTTTCGTTCTTTTTTTGTCATTTTTCTTTCTTTCTTGCAACCTATCTTTCTTTCTTTTGACTTTCTTCCTTGTTTTTTTTTTAACTTCTTTCTTCTTATTTGCTTTCCTTCTTTCTTACAGTCCCTTTCTTTCATGTGAACGAGCTTTCATTCTTCCTTCCAAAAAAGAATGAAAAATTCGGAAAATGGGATTCGTTTTTTTTTTTTATTCTTTCTCTTTTGGCTTCTGTCTTTCTTCTTTCTTTCTTTCTTTCTTTCTTTCTTTTTTTTTTTAACTTCTTTCTCTTCTAATATTTTTTTCATTTTCATTCTTCCTTTATTGCCTTCTTGTAATTTTTCTTTCTTTATTCTTTTTCTAATTTATTTTCTTTCTTTTTTCTTTCTTTCTTATTTTTTCTAACTTCTTTCTTTCTTTCTTTCTTTCTTTTTCTTTCTTTTTCTGTCTTTTTTTCATTTTGGAAACTTCTTTCTTTCTTTTTTCTTTCTTTCTTTCTTTCTTTTTAAAATGTAGTCCTTTCTGTCTTTCTTTCATTTTGGAATGTAGACCATTCTTTCTTTCTTTCTTTCTTTCTTTCTTTCTTTCTTTCTTTCTTTCTTTCTTTTTTTAAAATGTAGTCCTTTCTGTCTTTCTTTCATTTTGGAATGTAGACCATACTTTCTTTCTTTCTTTCTTTCATTCTTTCTTTCTTTCTTTCTTTTTAAAATGTAGTCCTTTCTGTCTTTCTTTCATTTTGGAATGTAGACCATACTTTCTTTCTTTCTTTCTTTCTTTCTTTTTTTTAAAATGTAGTCCATGTCTTTCTTTCATTTTGGAATTAGACCATACTTTTTTCTTTCTTTTCTTTCATTCTTTCTTTCTTTCTTTCTTTTTAAAATGTAGTCCTTTCTGTCTTTCTTTCATTTTGGAATGTAGACCATTCTTTCTTTCTTTCTTTCTTTCTTTCTTTCATTCTTTCTTTCTTTCTTTCTTTTTTGTAGTCCTTCTGTCTTTCTTTTGTTTTGGAATGTAGACCATTCTTTTTTTTTTTTTCTTTCTTTTCTTTCTAGCTCATTTGTTTTTCGAATTCCTTTCTTTTTTTCTGTCTTTCTTTCATTTTTTGTTCTTTCAGTCTTTCATTATTGCTTGATTGGTTTCTTTCTTTCTTTTCTTTCTTGCGTCAATTTTCTTTTTTATTTCTTTATTTAATATTTACCTATTTTTTTTTCTTTTTGAATCTTTTAAATTTGTTTTTTTCGTTTTACTTCTCTTTCTTTTTACAGTAATGAAATTGTGTACGTCTGCCTGTGTTGTGGAGTGGTTTCACAGTGGAGGCTTGTATTTGTACTAAGTCGGTCCTAAAATAGGTTCGACGTACAAAACGTTAGGAACTTGATATAATAGGTAATGACACAGAGAAATCTAGTTGTGGTCGCTGATACTTTAATATCCGACTAACGCTCGTCCGGCATCGACTGACTGACCGAAGATATTCAGTCAACACCCCCCACCCACCACGAGGGCGTCATGTGGCACAAGGCCTTTTTAACGTGGGATCTCCGAGCCCCTGGGCTCGGCTAAAAATATGCCCATTGAACTAGTATAAACGGGTTCAGGGTCGGTTTACCTCCTCGAAAGAGACTCCGCCCTTCGGCGTAACCTCTTTCGGGTTCCTCCCTGCCCGAAGACAGAGAGTTCAACCGATCAGCCAGTCGACTGACTGACCGAACCACTGAGCGACTCCTACTTATTATAGGTGGGAAAATCTATTAACTATAGAATAGGTGTGTTCCACCATAACAACCTGGGAGAAAAATAAATGGAAACTCAGATCGCTCCCAAATTGCCGAATCGTCTTCAGTTTGCTTCATTAGTGATCTTCTCACCTTCTGAACCGTGCCACCATCATGATACCAGGGACAAAAAGAGTCCTTCGTTAACGAGTGAAGAGTCACCTAAATGGTAACCACGGTGGTCTGAAAAAACTTGAGGACCAATGCGGGCGATAGGACTATTGTTATAGTGGAACACACCTATTCTATAGTTAATAGACTCTCCCACCTATAATAAGTAGGAGTAGTAAGAGTAACGAGTCGGTCAGTGAGTCGATGTCGGACGACAGTTAGTCGAATACTAAAGTATCAGCGACCACAACTAGATTACTCTGCGTTATACTTATTATATCAAGTTCCTAATGTTTTGTACGTCGAACCTATTTTAGGACCAACTTAGTACCAATACAAGCCTCCACTGCGAAATCACTCCACAACAACTATATTAACGGTGGCCATTGACAAGGACCGACTCGTGGAATGAAATTATTCGTGGCCGTTAACGGGGATCGACGAATGGGGTTATATACACCCTTGTGCAAATTAATTGAAACAACCGCTTTAGTTTCCTTTCTTTCACCATACGTTCAGTTTTAGACCAACTAGAGTGACAAGGTGGAATCGACTTCTATTTTTACTCCGATTAGTGCATTTGCAGTGGTGTGCAGTAATATGAATCTATTTTCGGGATGTATTTGTCCTTGAAAAATATTGCTTCATTTGTGATTGCATCAGATTTTTATAACGCCCAGTCACTATTGTCTCGACTGTTGATTAGTTGTCCTACGACCATTGTCTGCGATGGACACTACTCCAAAGCGGCATACGAATATTGTAACGCTGCAGGAACACACTGGCAATCCTTACAGAGGGATCGCGGATATTGTTGGTGTCGGTCTTTCAACTGTCAGTCGTGTCATTAAGGTGAAGAAACAAAATGGATTCATCAGTGCAAAACGTAAAGGAAGAAAACAAAGAAAGAAAAGGAAGAAAAAGGAAAGAAATAAAGAAAGTAAGACCGAACAAGTAAGAAAGGAAAAGGAAAGAAATGCTGTCGGAAGAGAAAAAACAGCGCCTAGAGACGACGTGATCAGGGAGAGTGTGAAGGATCCTAGGAAGACAAGTGATGCCATAAAAAGAGATTTACAAGTGAAAGGGATAAATGTCAGTTCCTTAACGGTCAGGTGAAGGCTTCTGGCTGTTGGACGAAAGGCAAAGCGAGCCGTGAAAAAAGCAACTTCTGGCGAAACCTATGAAGGTAAAACGCTACAAATGGAGACAGAAATACAAAAATTGGACGAAAGAACAACGAAGAAAAGTTATTTTCAGTGACGAAACTTATTCAAGGAATAAGAAGCCAGTATGCTCGCAGATCAACTGGAGAGAAACTTCGAGAGTGTCACATTAACCAATTCGTAAAACATCCCCTTGATTTGGGGGCTGCTTTAGTTACTACGAGGTTGGAGGTTTTCATGTCGTTGAAGGTACGAGACGAGGACCATAGTAGTCGTTCCACATCTGAATAAAAGTTTTCTTGATGGATGCGGTATTTTTCAGCTAGATCTGATCCCGTGTCATACCTTAAAACTTGTGAAGGGATTTTTTTTTTTACTAATGAGCAAATCAAACTACTAGATTGGCCCAGAAAATCTCCTGATCTAAATCCAATCGAGAATCTGTGGTCAATCTGCAAGGAACGACTTCGTGGAATGAAATGTACGACGAAAGAAAAACTCGTGACGGCCATTATAAACGTCTGGTATCATGACCCCCAAATCAATGAGGACTGCTCCAAATTAGTGGATTCCATGCCAAATCGCATCGAAGAGCTTCTAAAAAAATAAGGGCGGTCATACGAAGTATTAACATGTGCACGGGGGTCATGTTCCATTGGAATAATATGAAAAAAGTAAATAAAAAATTATATATAATATAGTAAATTATAAATTATTTGTTTCAGTTAATTTGCACAAGGGTTTATATATATATATATATATATGTGTGTGTGTGTGTGTGTGTGTGTGTGTGAAAATATATAGAAAATAGGAAAGAACTTGTTTGTTAAATAATCCAAAGTTCTTTAGTATTTTTGTTATTATTTTTAAAAAACAGTGCTCGATACAAAAGTAGAGCATAAATATAATTATTTATTTAAAAATATTATGATTCCATCGCTACATAACAGTTCTCATGTTTCAAAACAAGACCCGAAAACTTCAATACAATTATTTGAATTAAATTGAATTTAAGTACCAAGCTCTGTTCCATTTTCAAGCGAAATTTTTTTTGAATATATATATATATATATATATATTGTCATCCACAGACAGACTGTTTCGCTGTATCACAGCTCTTCAGTGTGGCTAGAAGTCCGGTTGCCTCTAACTAGGGTCGAAACCCGGCTGAATTGGCGTAAAAGGAGAGAGAGAGAATAAGAGAGTTGATGAACAGAGTGAAACAGTGTTATTGATAATGAACAGATAGCTACTAGCTAGATAGCTAATGAAGCGACTAGGATAGATAGATACAGAGATAGATAGATATGAAGAGACTGAGATAGATAGATAGATAGATAGATAGATAGATAGATAGATAGATAGATATGAACAGATAGATAGATAGATAGATAGATAGATAGATAGATATGAACAGATTGAGATAGATAGATAGATAGATATGAACAGATTGAGATAGATAGATAGATAGATAGATAGATAACATTTAAAAAAAAAAAGAAAGAAAAAGTCAAGCTACACCGATTCGTGCCAGGTGAACGTGTCCCTTGGATTCAACGGACACCTGCTGCGATCGTAATTGCGACATTTAACGGGCACCCCCCGGGGAAGTAAAGTGGGTGGCTAGATTGGACAAGTTGGCTGAAGTAGGCTCAGCGTAAAAGAAACGAGAAAGGACGGGATTGACCCATTCGATGTTTTGGTGTGACGTCATAGCAAGAGGCGATGGAAGAGCTGAAAGGCGGTGGTGGTGGTGGTGGGGGGGCTTCGTCTTCTGCAGGGGGGATGAAGTTGTTTTTGCTGACAGCCTGCCAAGCGACGGAGGCACCGGAACTTTCCAACGATTACAATAGTCGAATGTAACGTAACGTTCGCTGCGTAGGACCGCGACGCCTATGCAGGCGGGAACACACACACACGCACATATACATGCCCGCGTACACGCACACAAACACGCAGAAATATTGCTGTAGCACAGTGGTTAGCAAGCTCGTCTTTCAAACCAATTCTCTGATTAGTTTTATATGCTTAAAGGTTACTCAATACGGCCAGAAGGGCTTGCGTCATTAGGGCAGGTTGATTTTTCACTATTTTGAGAAAATCATCTTTGCACTCAATGCAAAACTTGCAGTTTTATGTGATATGAACTGACGCCAAAAATTAGATTCATAGCTTTAACCAATTTTTGAGCATTTGGTTTTATAGATCGTCTCAGATTTTACTATTTCAAGAATAAACCCAAATAAAGTTGATATTTTTTCTATTAGATTCATTGAAAGAAAAATATATTCAAGCCAGAATTCTAATTTTGAATCACCACAAATAAAACATTTTTTTATAGTTTATTCGATAATAAAAACTGTTTAAAAAAATTGTAAAAGATTACAAAAAAAAGGCTTCTCAATGAATGAGGTTTGTTTTATCATTTGACAGATAAGTAATTAATAAAAACAAAAATAGATAAAAGCTTCTATAACACCAGAATACTGCTGGGCAGAAATTATAAGACAAAATGTTTGAAATGTTTTATGCGATAAGTATTGTCATCAAAAATTAGATTCATAGCTTTCACTAATTTTTTGACATTTAATTTTAAAGATTCTCTGAGAAAAATGTCCAGTAATTCTTAATTTCTGTGGGTTTTTGCTTACAAACCAACTTCAAAATTTTACTATTCATAGAATAAATCCAAATAAAGTTGATATCTTTTGTATTAGAGACATTAAATGGAAAATATATTCAAACCAGAATTTTAATTAGGAATCACCACAAATAAAATATTCATTTTTTTTTACTGTATTCGATAATAAAAACTGTGTCAAAAAATTGAAAGATTACAAAAAGGTTGCTCAATGAATAAGATTAGTTAGATCATTTGTTAGATAATAATAAAAAAAAAATAGATATGTATATATACCATAATAACGCTGGGCACAAATTATAAGACAAAATGTTTCAAATTTGCA